GACTCCATATTTCGGTACTGTCAGGCAACGTACTATCTGTTTTCAAACACCACATAATTTGAAGTTCACGAAAAATACTGTTGAAGGTGGCAGCCATTTTGTTTATATTGACTACTGCGGGTATTTGGGAACCGCGTTAGGCGGGTAATTGAGAACGTTCCCAATAACCCCTTGCGTTCTTATTTATCCCTAATACTTCTGGGTGATTGTGTAAAAATGTTTTAACGATACAAATTACTTTAGAAATCTCTCATAGAAGAAGTATCTCACAAAATGCAGCTGCTATTGGATCTTACAATCTTCGATTCACTGAAAATGGTATACAAAAACAAATGTGAGCTATACATGGTTAACAATCCTGTCAAACGAATAAGCGATTATTAGGTTGGAGAACTTTTACAAATGCGTACAACAAAACAACTAACATAAGCAAAGCTCTCAATGGATTTAGAGCCGCTGGAATTCATCCAATTGATCCTAATAAATTTAAAGACAGCTTTGAAAATACGGTAATTGACCAATCTTACACCAGTCAGATTCAAGAGTGCAATGTTCATGAAAGTGCAGCTTAGTAAAGTTTGAATGAGTCCATTAACACAGCCATAGTCAAACACCAACATAGGATGCCACTTCTGTTCCAGAAAATGACAACGATTTGAGCGTTACCATTAATACTCCTTATCCATTTCCATTCTTCTTGCCGGAATCATCAATGGGCCTGTTATTCCTAAAACAGGAACCACTTCTAAGCGACAGAATAAGAAGCATTCCCAGATTTTATCCAGTACATCAATAAACATTCAACTAGAGGAAAAATGAGAAAAGTGGGCGGAAAGCTAAATAGGAAAAAGTTTCTACTAAAAACACAGAAAAGAACATTGAAACTACACATAAGAAGAGTCGATGGTAAAGGAGTCAAAAGTTTGAAAAAGGCTTTACAAGGAAAACGAAGAGGAATTTCACTGTGTAATATGCAATGAAAACCATGAATCCCCACCGATAGAATATTGGATCATGTGCACCATTTGTTAATTCTGGGCTCATGAAAAATTTACTACCGACGATACTAGTAAAGGTTACGTGTGTGATATGTGCCACATAAGTTAATAATTGTAGTTTGTTTTAAAGATTTAATTATTTCTTTCTTAACCTGTCTGGAGTAACCAAACTGTTCCAATTTCCCCCGCAGAAAGATCTCAATTACCCCATAGGGTATGGGGTAAATAGGAATGGTAATGTCTTTTGTTTTCGTTCATATTTTTAATAAAACGTTGTTATTTAAGACTTTTACTGTTACTAGTAAGTAGATACAATATTATATATATATTGTATTGTAATATATATATTGTATTATATATATTATAGATAAGCAAACTTTATGTTGCCGTAAAAGTTGATTATCTGTGACTTTTTCTATTATTATTGAGCGTTAGAAGTTAAGTGTTCCCAATTACCCCACTTTCCCCTACATTTGGTCCAAAGGTCCTGACGTCAGGATAGCTAGATACTTTTTTATGATTTTTCTCTGCTTAATAAGGCACCAAATATTTAATACTACGTACGAAATAGTACCAATTAGATACTTAAATTTACATATACATATACGTATACGTAACATAAAAGGCCTTTCTTGGTCTAGAGGTTATGATGCTCAGTAGTTTTATTTAGTTAAGTGTTATAAACAGCTGCGCGATTAGTAAAGGATATAAGAAGAAAACACTTAATGCTAACATTAATTGTTTACAAAGGTGTAAAATAATAGTTTCACCTCTGCATACAAGTTAAGAATCGAGGGGATCTGATTAGTACTTCTTGCCAACTATAAATACCTTTTCACTTCGACATTGGAAAAGAAAAGAGGCATTCCATGTTATTTATTATTATTACATATTATTTCTCACGGCTGACAACGCATCTACATTTTGATTCGCAAACGAGGATAGCATGTAGATATCTATGAGCCACAGCAACGACTTACCATCAGGTGGACTGTGTGCTCGTTTGTCACCTTTATCCTAAAAAAAAAACGTTTTTTTTATATTTATAAATTATACGATTACTATTACAACAATATCAAAGAACTATATTTTACATAGGCAATGTTTTCAGATTCGAAGTAACTACGAATGGGAAAATGCTTACCATTCTAAGAAGCACAATATGTTATAACTTTTAAACTCTAATGATTTCTTTCATCAGCACACTTACTAGTTGGTAGGATTCGTCTTCTACTAAGGATTTCCTCTCGAAAAGTTCCACCCTTAGCTGTTACCGCCACCAAACAACAATTTTTGCGCCCTTTACGCTGAAACCCTTCCCGACAAAATCATAATTTTTTTTATAAAGTTACTATGTCAAGATTTAGTGAGGAATTAGTGACAATTAGAGACAAGAAAAAAATTGATTTAATAACTTTAGGAGATATAGCCTTCCTATTGGGAGTGTTTTAGCTTGAATTCAAGCTAGCAGCTTCCCCTCTAAAACGCAGTTACTGTCTATTTTTGAGATCAAAGCTTAGCGGTCAGCCGCCGTAGAGTCTACATCACCTGAGGATGCCTCGTGTAGAGGCGAAACACGTGTCGTATTATCGTCGATGGTGTGTCTTTCCTGGAATAGTGGTGTTGGAAGTAGTGGTGCCGGGAGTAGTGGTGTTGGGAGTAGTGGTGCCGGAGTTAGTGCACGCAATTGAGAGAGGGTGGGAGGTGCTCTTCAATCCAGGTAAGACACATCATTGTATTTAGCTAGCGGAAGGTTGCGAAGTAATTTATATTTTTATTATTTTTGAGATGTTATAACTATTTTGAGATTTCAGCAATTGCTGACTTTCATTAACCGAGATTGAAACATATTGCTCCAATGGAACCGGAGTTATTCATATATCCTAGGGTGGATTTTGGTTTGAAGATTATATTATAACAGATAATATGTTATATATATTATATATTTGTGAAATACGAGTCAAGATTTATTTACTAATTAATGACTGCCCAATTTTAAGACAATACAGACGAAACGATACAGAAAATATAATATTTTTTCTAAGACTAGGTCTAAAATAAGGACAGTCTCGTTCAAATACGGAAACTACATATTCTAGAAAAATATAGCTTATATTTCTTACATACTTTATGGAATGATTAGGTAGTATGTTTATACCTGCTGGCACTTAAAACGACGTTTGACTAATTCATCCATTTAAAAGTTTTATATAATATACAATAATAATACATAGATTTCACAACGACGAAGTAAGCCGATCTTCTAATGTAAAACTGTTAGGTATGTACTAGGTAATATATATGTAATATGTTTTGTGTCGTCTGCTACTCTAATTAATTTTGCTTTCATTTGAATGAAAAAATATATGAACATATTAAAGTGAAAGCAAATGAAATATAAAATATTTGTAAAATCCAAAAATTCACGCCTCATGAGCGTTTCATTTAAATTTGATGAAAAAATTGTCTACCTGACTTTTAAAATATACCTATCTACTATTTAGGCGTTTTAAATTTAACGTTTTATTATTTTAACACGTAGTGTCACTTACAGGGGAAAATTTACCAAAATAAATCGATTACACAAAGTATAAAATCGATATAGGGCGTATGGTATCTACATTTTGTCCTTTGTATCAAGGGCTAAAAAAGCGCCTTTAAATTTTTAATAATATAAATATTTTTAATAAATTTTATTGCAAATTTATAAAAGTTGCCAATTTTATTAAGAAATTACGCGTACTAGCCTATCGATATGAAATATGCAACCATGAAATGTAACTCTGAAGCTAATAAAGAAAACCCATACAAAGTCAACATCGGGGCGTCCACGTAAAAATTTTATCTAACCGTTATTTTTTTCATTGTAGCAATATAACATGAATTTTTAGAAAGTGTAAGATGGATTATGTATAGTGTTTTCTTGATATATGGCTAATCATATTAGCGTATAAGTGCAATATGGTTATGATAGAGGCATTTTAAGAATACAAAATTGCTTGACCTTGATGTGTCGAGAGTAAAACACTAACTCTTCGTGTTATGAGGCATGCATTTTCTACAATAATAAGTTGGACCATCTCTGCGATATAATATATTATGAATATAATTTTTACACCAGAATGCAAAGGATGCTCTCTTGTAATAAAAAGGGAACACGATATAATCTTTAGGTTTTACCTAGATTTCATCTTATCTTCAGGTGGACTGAATGCTTGTTTATTACCCTTCTATCTAAATAAAAATATCACCTAATAATATTGTAATAATAGCATAAATATAGAGTCATGTGGGTCAACTGTGTGCAGCGTCTAAGTGTGCGCATTCAAAATATCTCGAAAACCATAAAGAGCTAAGGAACCCCCCACTTGCGCCCTCCTTTCTGCCAAGGAGGGTCGCGTCCGTATACGGCTTAGAGATCTCTAGTTAGACCGTTAAGCCAGTCCCTAAAAAGTTAAGCCAGTCCCTAAAAGTAAGGTTTAGTGGGCAAAAGTCTCCACATAACCACGCAGCTGGCTGCGTGGTATACTATGAGCATTCCCCACCTCCCTCCCCCGCTTTCCGGAGGATTGCCCATATTTGCTTCGGGCGCAAAAAAAAACAACCTCCAAATTACCTCGCGGGACGTCCTGCAAAGCGCTCGTATCGCAGCGGCTGCTCGCATGCCGTTTTGTTCTGACAGGTAAACGAAGATTTTTGCTAAAATATTTACGATATTTTGTCACATTTGACGCGTAATCTTTTGTAGTCATGAAAACTTTTTGAAAATATGCTATTTGCTACCGAGTGCAACATAATATCTAGTTTTTTTGTTATTCAGTGTTTAAGTTGTTATGATGACGCAATAATCATTGACATTTATACAATTCTGTTTCGATGGTTTGGGTTAAGTGTGCGCAGAAGCCTGTCGTGTAGGCGTGCGCATGCGCACTCTTACCCCGCTTGCATATCTTTGTACATGTGTTGCTATATTTTGTTTCAGAGTACAAATATAAATTTAAAATGCCTCGAAATTATCTGAGAAAAGCTTCGGATAGATGCGTCGTCACAGATGAACAACTGGAAGCCGCCAAATTATTAATTTCAAAGGGTGCCAGTAAAAGAAAAGCTGCATCTCAAGTCGGACTTAAGGAAAGTACTCTGCGAAAACGTTTAAAAGCTGGGAAGACAGCAACCAGCATGGGAAGATTTTCTTTGACATTCACCAAGGAGCGAGAGACTGATATATACAAATATATTAAACAAAGTGATGATCTTTATTATGGTCTCACAATGCAGAACCTCCAGAAGTTGATTTATGAGTATGCTGAAGTAAATAAAATTACGCATAGATTCAAAACATCCTCAAAATTAGCTGGCCGAGGCTGGGTATATGGATTCCTTAAAAGGTTTCTTGAATTAAAATTGCGACAGCCAGTCCCAACTAGTATTGCCAGAGCCATGGGATTCAATATAACTCAAGTACAAAGATTTTATGATAAATTGCAGAGCCTCTACAATAAACACAAATTTGTACCCAGCCAAATATATAATATGGATGAAAGTGGAGTGAGTACTGTACCAAAGAAAATACCAAAAGTAATATCGGTGAAAGGAAAAAAGCTGGTGGGAAAAATAGTTTTCCTGAATTAAAATTGCAACAGCCAGTCCCAACTGGTATTGCCAGAGCCATGGGATTCAATATAACTCAAGTACAAAGATTTCATGATAACTTGCAGAGCCTCTACAATAAACACAAATTTGTACCCAGCCAAATATATAATATGGATGAAAGTGGAGTGAGTACTGTACCAAAGAAAATACCAAAAGTAATATCGGTGAAAGGAACAAAAGCCGGTGGGAAAAATTGTTTCTGCTGAAAGAGGCCGAACAATTACACTAGTTTGCGCAATGAGTGCAACTGGGAACTATGTTCCTCCAGCATTTATTTTTCCCCGGAAGCGAATCAAATATTTGCTTAATAATGCACCCTAAGGTAGTATTGGAATGGCTTCTGATTCAGGATTCATAAATACGGGCCTGTTTCTAGAATACCTATGCCATTTTAAAGACAATGTTCAGCCAACCAAAGATAATCCTATCTTGTTAATGTTGAACAACCATAGCAGCCATATCTCTCTAGATGCTATACTGTTTTGTCGTGATAATGGCATTCACATGCTTACTCTCTCACCTCACAGTAGTCACAAGATGCAGCCCTTGGATCGTGGGTTTTTTGGGCCTCTGAAAACAAAATTCGCTTACGCATGTGATAAATGGCTAAGCCACCATCAAGGCCGCGTGATTGGGGAAACCAAAATAGCTCAATTGGTGAATGAGGCCTTCCAAAAAGTAGCAACGCTTAGCAATGCGGTTTAAGGTTTCAAAGTTTCTGGAATCTTGCCAATAGAGACATTTTTTCGCAGGAAGATTTCACGGCAGCTTCTGTAACTGACATGATTTCTGCCCAAAATTTAGAAGAGATGTTGCCCACTACAGCAGTACAGGAACCTTTACAAGAAGATTCAATTCCATCACACGCACAACATTTGACAAATTAGCAGCATCCACCTCTTCTACACAGCCAACACAAGTTTTGGGAAGTGCAGGAACGACTTCACCTACGATATTACATAATTTTTCTACATCAAGTCAACATGTACAAGATCTGCTTTTGACTACTGAGCATACATTGACATCATCAAATGCTGACAAGCAAACACAAGAAAACTTCTTAGAAATCTCCCAATCATGTCTTCTTAGAAATCTCACAAACACAACTGTAAACAGTCCAGACACCATTGCATTTTTACCAACATGTGTAGCTTCAACCAGCACAGAATTCATACCATTGTCGTCTATACAAGCTCTGCCGAAAGCAACATCACAAAATCGACGACGAAAAGGCAAAAAGTCAATAATTGCTACTGATGGTCTCTTTAAATCTGAATTCTAAACTAAGAACAAAGAGGAAGAAGAGAAATTATCTAAAAATAAAATACGACTAGATTTAAAAGAAAGACTAAAAACTAAGAAAACTACTACAAAATCATCTAAGACTACCAAAAAAAAGAATGTTAAAAATAAGACTCTTAGGAAACCAAAAAATAACGAAAATGAGTATTACTACGACGCCAACACACAGTTATACAAAACCCTTATAAGCTTAGTTTCTTGTATTTTTTTATTTTTTTGTGTTTAATAAATGTAATTAAAGTTAGTTAAATAATAAACAAAAAATGTAATTCTAAAGCTGTAGAAGAGCAGGACATCCTGCCACAAGTATACATTTACTTAAAAGGATGTCTCACTTACTCCCATACCTATGTAATTTGTGATATTTTTAAAGAAATAAACAATTTTTAATTTTTAATTTTTACAGACTGGATCTGGATTTTAAAGTTTTTTTTAAGGTAATAGTCATGTTAAGCGAAGCTAGCCAAGTTAACATTCTACTATCGTTATCTCTAACAGAAAACTATAAGAGTGTCAACGATAAGTCACTTGTGTTGACAGCTACAGAGTAGCCAAGTAAGAAGCACATATTACATTGGTAAAGCCAGTGGACTTATAAACACTGAAACACGTTCTTATCGTAACCCAACTGTAAATATAAATGTGATGATTGGCGAAATATTTAAATGCAGAATGAAAAAAAACGTAATTTTTCAAGTTCTGAAAATCGCAGAACCTCAGGGTACTTACTATAACTGTTGGAGCCAGGGCACTACTCAACCTTTAATTGTCTAAATTCAAACGTAAAAATCTAAATATTTTAAGTAATATAATATATAACTAAGTGAAGACAGACTTTACATGGCTTCAAAAATATTCTTATTCTTAGGCATGTACGTTTCTTCACAATGTTTTCCTTCACGACCAAGCCTATTGTTTGCGACAGTTTACTCGCGTATGAAATATACAGTGAGCGCTTAGCCTTCGTAACCCACCACAACACATTGCAATTGGACGGAAAAATATACGCTGACAAATCATTCCACCCCTTAACTGAGTGTAACGAAAGTGTTTCGTTCGTTCTCGTTTGAGACCAAATCTGATCCTGCTCTAGACTGTTGAGATTTTTTTATTTTCCTTAAGTTACTATATATGAATCTCGTACACAGAAATCTAAATAATAAGGCAATAAAAGTCGTAAAAGCGCGTGACCTTGTCGGCGCACATGTGACTCGTAGGCCACAAGCGCGCAAGAAGCGATTGTTTCGGTCACCAGTGTTATTTCGGACGCAGAGACGTAAAAATGGGGTTTTGAAGCGTATCCAACTGCGGACATTCTTCCACAACTTGCAAGTTTTCAAATAAAGGGATAACATTTCATAAATAAGTACCTACTTAATATTTAAAATAATGTTTATAAAAAAATTTTAATGAAATATACTTAAATAAAATTATTTACCTCCCAGTACTACGATTGTCACCGAAAATATAATTGTTTTCACATTTCAATATCCAGTTATTCTCAAGATAGTTTATGTCTACGAGTACGACAGGTAAAAGCTGGATTTATAGTATGGGCAATAAACAATATTGTTGCGCACGTAAATCCCAAGAACACCGCGACAGGAGTCGATATATATATATATATATATATATATATATATATATATATATATATATATATATATATATATATATATATAGGTTGATAATTTTTTTATATTTTATTTAATACAATGCTATTATACCAGGTTTCCAAAAGATCCGGATATTAAAGATAAATGGATATACTTATCCTTAACGTTTTATTATATAGTTATAAAAGCGTCTATTACTAAAAACGTCTATTACTGAGACACTTTCAGTAATTCGTTATATCTTAGTCTGACACTCTTGGATGATCAACGACGCTATCGATACGTGCGTTGCGCTGTACTATGACCAAGTGAGAGTGAGCGCGTAATATTCTCTGTTTTTCGCATACATTAATAATTGGATTGGATTTAAAATATTCCTTAACGCAATAATTTATAGTTTAATCTTTGTTGCATGAATGCTAGAGATATGTGTAGGCTTAATTGTGTATTTATTGTTTGTCTATGTGCGTTAGCTGCGAACCGGCGACACGCGCCCCGATATTAAAAGACAGTAGAAGGCATTTTTCTAGTACCTTATTATTTAGATTTATGTGATCCCGTAACTTCCTTAATTCGACCACAGAAAATTCAGTTGCACGTAAACGAACCCACGCATCATGTAAACGTTTTTATCCTTATGGACAGTACTTACGTCGTCATCGTGGTTATGTTTATAAATTACATTAATTTCTATGAAATTCCACTTCTTTTCAGGTTTTCGCAACTTTTTTGCCACATGCTTTGAAAGTAGGTATAACATATCTGTACTCTGTGAGCGACACTGTGGCCCATATTAATAAAGGGTCATCAGCTCAAGTGCATGCACTTGAGAGCAATTTTGAAGCTATAACCTTATTAACGAATTTAATTAAAGTTTCGGCTTGGGATTACGTTATCAGTTGAATGATGTACTATTTAATAAAAGAAACTCTCAAGTACACTATAACTGCGTGTACTTGAGATGCTAAAATTACAATGCAGGCGGTCCTTGACTTGGGATCGTTATTGTAGTAGCGCAAGTCATGAATTTTGAAAATATTTTGAGTGCAATTACTTATTACGATGAAATATAGTACTATTCCGACATTTTACGGACTTCACGAATTCAATTACTAAACATTTATACAAGGGTTGAGTATAGTTTGTTATACAGAACATTCGTACGTGATTTCTAAATATGTATATAGTAAGATGTAAGTATTTTAAAATTTGCCCGAATATTTTTTTTAATATCAAGAAACCATTTTTTTTTTATTTTTCTGTACGTCTACGTCTCTTTTTTTACACTGACGCTGTCGCTTTAATGCATTAGGTTGTTTGTACAAATTGAGTGGAGTAGTAAATACTTAAGTCGTATTTAGAAATATATATACTTACAACAGTTTTAACAATTTAAGGCTTTCTTAAGTAGACAACAACTTTATACCGTGAAATGAGATGATAATATTCTAAACTTCTGTCAATGTTACGTAATCGTTCACGAGATTAAGCCATCGAGTCACAGAACACTATCCTAAGAATAACGTCTTGAGGAGTTGATCTTGGTAACTGAGATACTGTTTATGTGTTTATTAATTAGCGACGATCTTAGGATTCGTGTCGAATTATTACGCACTTGAGTTCGCTCGATGCACGAAAAAGATATACTAATACGGACATGAGAGACAACGTGAGTGGTACGTACACACTCACAGTCACACTTGAGTACCTTTGTACAAAGAGGGCGCACTTACACGTCAGAATTTTGAACTTTGACGGAGAGCGGGCATGGTGTCCCGAGGTTCACCTCGCTCCCATCTACACTCTCGGGTCCAATCTCGAGGTGTCTCGACGTAAGGGTACAGCTGTTATTAGATTTATAATTTTTCTAACCGCATAATAAATATTTAGGTCTAAATACCATTAGTACAAATATGTAGGTAGCATATCTGGGGATAATACTAGGTAGTAAATAACACAAACGTCATGATATAGAAATATTTATTTTATGCAAAATAGTAAAACACATACGCTGTTAGTAAAATTTTCTATCAGATATGTATTTCGATACTTCCCGATTTCAGCTTCAGTATCAGAGGATTGCCTTTCACACGTAACATGAGTGACGTATTGGAGTTACTGTAAACATAAACTCTAACACTTAGCAACCATTTAATACTTGATGTTTCCTAAACTACAACGTCTTCAGTGCTGTTGTGACTACAGCGCTACTGCAGCACATTAGAGAATTTCTCTAATAAATAAACAGCGGGTTTTTAGAGCATAATACGCAAAAGAAGTCCTTTATTCCCGTGGAAATACAAGTAGGAGTGAGAAAGTGATTGAGTGAGGGAGTGACTGAGTGAGTAAGTAAGTACAAGTAAGTCCACTAAGAGCCTACTCCTTTATAAAAGAGTGGCAATGCACCTGTAACCACCATATTGCAGATGTTCATGGGCGATAGTGATCACTTACCATCAGGTGAGCCACTTCCTCTTCCATAATAAAATACCAACTCGCTACAGAGAATCGTTGCAGTGAGTCTGCACGGCTCATTGACAAAACATTGGGCATTATTCTATGTAAAATTGGAGACAATCTTTTTGATCTTAATCGAGGATACAAGGAAGCTGCTGCCCAGCGCTGGTATATGTGTTTCTGTATGGTGTAAGCATGATGGTATAACGCCATCTATCGGGTGTTCCATGTATGGCCATAAGATGTTCCTGGCATTTTTCATAGTCGCCTGTTACGACATCCTAGTTAGTTATTATTTGTTTGTTATTTTTATAAGAAGACACTGGCTCCAGAGATACAGGTTTCATCTACATTAGGAGACAGGGACTTTAAATTTATTAGTGAAATAAAGCATTATTATTACTAATATTAATATTACGTACGTACTGCATTCGTCAACGTTGAATTCTACGGTAGTGATTGACTTCGCTTCCAATTTCACGGCAGCCTCGCGGTTGTATATCTTAACGCCTACGGTAGCATCGTTGACACTACTACAAAGTAAAAAAATATAAAAATCTCGTTATTGTTCTCACTTACACAATATACTCTTTTGAATAAAAAAGCATTTAAGAGGAAGTGTACAATAAGCACGTTTAAACCTAAAAACAGAGATCACCAGTCTTTATATTAGTGAAAGTTAGTATCAACTAATACTAATGTCCACTAATGTCAATTAAGATACTTCGTACCAGCTGTTCAAGAGAAACATAAACACAATTTTAAAACATTAAAAAGGAAACAAATTTAAATTCGGTGATGTAGTTTGAACCACAATGATACTGTGTAGTAGCGAAACAGACCTTTTACTAATCCGTCAGTATCGTAAGTGTGGACAGAGGGAAATGAAAGTCGCAGCATTTTTTAGATATGTTACTTAATAAAAAAAAAACTTCTTTAGCCTTTAGTATGTTTAATAAAATTTAAGTGACTTGTGAAGTAACAGCCCACCAAATGTTAAGTGGCTACTACAGTCTATGGTCACCTGCAGCCAAATGCAAACAAGGAAAGCTCTGAGGACTAAGATGAAATGTCTCACAGTCTGTAACTATACGGGCTCTCTATACTCTTCAGATCGGAACACAGCAGTGCACACACTGCTGCTTGGCAGGAACAGGTAAGAGGGTGATACTTAGACGGATTCCTAGAACAGGAGTCTTACCACCTAGAGTTATGCTTCAAATAAGAAATGTAAGAAGTGCATATGGCGATCATTAAAAAATAATGTCGTAATAAAAAAAATTACTCATTATAAATCACAAGGACGACGGTGTTCTGTGGCGTCAAAAATGCAACCTCGTCAATATATTTGGATAAACACTTCTGCTCCACCCTGATCCTTCTAGAGCCACGTGGAATGAACTTCGAGAAATGCCCCATTGCGTAGAACATTGGCTGCTTAAGAAATTCCCCTCGTTCCGCATCCACAATTATAGGAGAGTCCACATAATCCTCCGCCCAATTTGGACCTCCATTTTTGTTTAGACAGTAATTCCAGTCCATCCATCCAACGATATTGTTGTTTAAATCCTGCACAAACATAAATATATGAAAATTAGAGTTATCTGGTTTAAGGGCTGTGCGCCTGCTTTAAAATGTTATAATAATGGACTCCAGACCGATCGGTCACGGCGACCAGGCTAACGAAAACTAAACATTGCACAGGACAGGATGTATGCGCAAGCAACTCACTTTCTTATTCCAATGGAACAACAATCCAGTATGACCGAAGAGGGATCACGCGCAGGACTTACTGTTTTATGTGCTTTTTGAATGGTGAAACACCGCCTAGTTCCTGACTTGGGACTGCTCTCCTGCTAATTTTGTACACAAAAATCCAATAACCGACCCAGGATTTGAACCTGGTACCTGATTATCATCATTTTCACTTACGACCACTACACTAACGGGATCTATTCAAGCGAATCACGTCCGGTAAGCCCGGAGAGGTCAAAATATATGAATCTTGTGCAATCGGCAACATGAGCATATCTCATTGTAAGTAGGTAAGATTTGAACTAATTTTGGATATTGCGATATTTTTCCCTTAGTTGACTTATGGGGCACCAGTAATGACGCGGTGTGCGTTATTGTTCTTTAACTCGTGATAGTCCTCCGCTGTACATTGGCTTTTCCATTGTGGGGAAGATTTGTAATAATAGGCAACGCTTAGCAAACGGTTTGTCGATCTCAGTACCACATATCTTATATCTTTGACGCAGGTTTATTGTATATCTTATATCGTATATATCGAAAGACCATTAAATAACAAAAATGTTTGCCCATTGTGCACGCTGTAATTCATGACATAAACATACCTGAATAATGTCTTTGATGTAGCTCTCAGCTCTGTCCCAAGATCCTAAATCGACTTGTTTCTCATTTGGCAGATTTCCTAAAAGATATTCAATAAAAAATAAACTATATTTTTATAGTATTAGGAAATTAGAACCAAGTCCACCTGATGGTAAACGGGTGCTGTGTCCCATAAACATCTACTACATCCATTCTCGATTATGTATGTAAATGCAGATGTGTTGTCACCCTAAGAACTAAGATGGAATGTTTCGTTTCCAGTAAAAATAATCTTTGGATTTCTGGTTCTCTACATTCACAGTACGAAGCACAGCAGCTGATACTGATATTACACCCGTTTGAGCCCATACATTTGAGTTACTACCATAATATAGCTGCAGCAAAGTTCTACTACGTAACATGTTCTACTGCGTGATTTTTGAACATAGTAATGAAATGTCCTTAAAAACTATAACACAAGTTTATATAAATAGAAGAGATAATTGTTCATAGTAGCACCACCAGAAAATAAAATGACTATAAAAGATTTTATAAAAATGTTCAGTGACTACAATAACATACACTTTTAAATTCCATATTCAAACACTTTGTTTCGTACTATTTTAGGCGGTGTAGAGAGGGGGTGTCGTGGCAGAAGATATGACAGATTATTTCAGAGTTAATGGTATACCACCCTCATCGTATTTATACACGGACATACAAAGGACATTATTGGGTGAAGCCTATATCCAGCAGTAGACAACAGAAAGGAGAATCAGTTACTCATAAAGCAGAAAAATTCTACTTAAAAAAAAGTTAAATCCGACTTACGAGAACTAGAATAAATGAAATAATTTCCATTTAATATCTTCAGTAATAGGTACTAAAAAACAGTATAACCGCCATTGATTACATTGGTAGCAATTTAGAAGAAATTGTGATGCAAAAATTTTGTAATTTTATTACTTATTTGAAAATTTTTTGCAGTCGTCTTCCACTTTTTTGTAAAAAGTCTAATATTTTTAACTTATTGAGTTTACTTAGAAATATCACAAGTTTAAATAACTAATTAGTTATATTAAAAACATTCCCCGATTTTGCCATACTTAGGCCCTCGAAGTGCATATCAATAAAATATTTAATAAAAGAAGAATGTTTAAAGTCAAACAATAAGAACTTACAGTCGAATTCATTAAATTCAATTATCTACTTTTCTCAAGAATAAAATACATACCTCTACAAGCTTCGGTAGCGATTACAAAAAGTTCTGGATACCTCCCATACACATTCTTGAGCGTTTGAACGGGAGTGCTCGTGTCGTAGTAAAAGTGAACTGCTATGCCATCGATATAGTCCAACACCTCAGGATAATTCTTTATAATCTGACAAAGAAAACAAATTATAAAGTCGGTGTATTTCAAGGCTTTTTAGTTCTGTGTTTAAGTACTTTCTTAGATTCAAATACAAAGTTAAAGTTATGCGTATTCCATTTAGTATTATTAGCCCTTTCTTGTCATGTTATGTTATATGTATGTATAACTGTTTCTTTTTTGTATATAATGTGTTTCGCGATAACTTTGTTAATTTGGATCGATTTTAATGATTCATTTTTAACGACGGCTCCGTGGTGCAGTGGCTTAGCTATGAGTTAAAGCGTTAAGGGCCGCGGGTTCGAATCCCGCACGGAACAAGTATTTGTATGGCCTACAAGTAATGTTCCGGGTCTGGATGTTTGTCCTTGTGCAATTTGTGTTTGTAAACTGCCCCCACGATACTGGAGAAAATCCTAATGTGGAGGTAACGTTTTCTTAAGAAAAAAAATCGGTAAGTACAGATAAATAAATTGTCAGTTTACAATGTCAAAATAACTGTTTTTACTAAATGCGTATGAAAGTAAACAGTAATAGTAAAAAGTAAACACAAAAAAAACTAAATTTTAACATTTTGTCTGACTGTTTGTTTGTTGCAAATCTCCTTAATGGCTGGACAGATGTTGAAGATACTTTCACTGTCAGATGTTACAAGGCTGCTGATGATATAACTTCTACATTTATTTTAGAAAAATGGGCCAAATTAAGAGTACCCTTAACCGACGAGATTTGTGTGGAAGAGACGAGAGAGGTATGTCAGAATCGTGCTAAATGGAAGTCTGCAGTCTCTGCCTACCCCTCTGGGTGACAGGCGTGAGTGTTTATGTATATGTATTTGTTCTAGAAAAAGAATTAGGGTTCTATGCAAAAAAATTAAAACTCGTAAAATCCAATTGTAACAAATTCCACGCGGACGGAGTCGCGTGGAATAACTATTTATATTATAAATCCTTTAGAGAATTAATTGGAAATAATATTCCTCATTTAAACACATGAGTTAAAAAATCCTCTAGGGAATTAATTTGAATAAAATATCCTGCTCCTAAGTTGGTTTCTTTACTCATGTACCGTAAGTGTGCAAAAATTAGGGATGTTAATATGTAACTGTTACGACGTCATTCTAGTACAGTTGTAAAAAGAAAGTCTAGATAGAAGTTGTTTGTGACATTTCTGATTCCTATCAAAATATTAGTGCGAAAGTGTATGGAAATATATATATATATATATATATATATATATATATATATATATATATATTTTTTATATATATATATATATACTAGCTGCTGCCCGCGACTTCGTACGCGGATGATGTTGCTTATTCCAACGACAACGGGGTCGTCAAAATCGAAGATCTAAAACGTCTGATGTCGAATTCTAAGAGCCCAGGGACGGGAAAACAACGTGATGCGCGAGACGATTCGAGACGTTCCAGATCTTTCATTTTTGTAAATCAACACGAAATGCCCATCAGACTAAACAACGTTTGCTAAGACGTCATTCCTATATATGTTATAATATCGCTGAGCTTTGGAGTTCCACAACAGGTGCTCCATATCTTCAAATTTATTCTCACAGCAGAAAAAACTCTTCACGTGGAATATTTTTTGCTATGACACCATTTTTATATCTCTTATACTTTAGCTGGTCTGTTGCGGTTCTGCATCAGGTGTTCCATTTTCCAAAATAAATTATAGTCTATATGTTACCTAGACTTAACACCTATACAACAAAAAACTTTTCATCCCGTATATTTCACCGATCCGGTGCGGAATGCACCGGATCCCAAGGGTACACTGAATTAACAAATAAACTGCAAATCACTTTAAAAAAATCTTTATAAACCATAGATGTACCCTTGGCTTTGCCCACGTTCTCGGTCACGCGCAAGTCGTATCTCACGCTCCTGACTGCTCTCAAGTGATCAAGCAGTCTCAGAGCGGATATTCTGAAAACTCAACCTCTGATCCCTTTTTGTAACCGTTTCGGATGCGCGAGACAAAGAATGACGATCCCGGTCGCATTTCTCGTTGTTCCACACTTTCCTGAGATCGAGTAGCAGTAGTGCGGACTCGTTTAAATTCTAGTCGTAATTGGCGCTGCGTGGAAGTTTCTGCGGACAAACTTAGTGCATTACGCTCACGGTTAGCACCTAGCCGTTGTTCACGTTCTGCGTGGGTTCGAGAGAAACTACTGCTACTACTAACTAACCTGCGCATCTTAGAAACCCTTGAGTTTCGAGACAGATTTTATCTTTTTCTAAAAGGCATAGCTAAAATTTCTTCTTAATCCGATACTAACGATATTCAAAACAATTAAAAGTAACCGAACTTACGTAAGAATTGCTAGTAAGTAGAAAAACAATAATTATTTCCAGGAAAATTAAACACATCAACCAACACAGACAACAAAGGTAACCCCCATTTCTATAGGATGAGAGCGGCCCATTGGCACCTATGACATCACATTTTGGGAACGAAACCATAACAAGATCTAACTCGACGCCAACGCCATCTAGTTAGTAAACGGAAACTACATATTATTTACCCAAATGAATTAATTAAATTATGAATTAAAACTAAATTGTCGTTAATTTAATAGACAAGTACATTATTTTTGCATTAAAAAATATGGTAACAGCAGCAAGGAACAAAACTAAGAATTACATACTTAAATCAACCTGCAACAAATGTGCTTGGTAATATATAACTTAGAACCAAAAGTTTGACTTGACTTCATGATAGTGTAACTTGTTGTACCACCAATCAACCTGTTTAGTAATATTGGTGTGAAACTCACCATACAATTAAATAGGACGTGTAAAGTTCTCAGATTTCCTAATGCACATAAAAAGCGCAAAAATTAAACAAAAATTACAATTTTTCAAAAGAATATTATGGGATTTAAATTTGCACCATTTAATGCGATAAACGGTCGCCTGACCTTACCGCTAAATTTTCCATTGACATATTGTTAAACAGCTATTCCCTTGCAATTTATAATATTACTGCCCCGCTCCTTTATAAAAATAGCGTGATTATTATGTTCCCAGAGTTAAATTTTTATTTTTATTTTAACTAATAACATGTCATTTTGTGCATTCAATTATTTTGTGCATTCAATTACGAAGAAAAACCTTTTAAAATCCATACTGCTTACCCCCTATAACATATGACGTGATAATATGTAGCCTAAAGCCTTCCTTGGTTTACAAAGAACATTTTTATTGAATTTCAATTCAATCTATCGAGTAGTTTTGGCGTGATTATTTTTGTATATTGTATTGTAGTTTCCATAACATTTCTGCTGAGTAGACGTCTTTTTAGTTCATTCCATTAAATTATTATGTTATGTTAATTTGTGAGTATATTTGGAACTAAATAAATTATATTATTATTATTATTATTATGAAGATTAACTAAATAGATTATTTCTTACGTCATAGAAATCACTGGAAATCGTATACCGCTGATCATCCAGCGCAAGGATCTTGGTATCTTTAAACGTTGAATTGCGAATCGTCGGCCCCAGATTTTCTGCTATAAATTTACCCTGAAATGAAGTGATTTCTAATTTACACTTTCTAAAATACAAAAAATATCCTATTATCAAGACAGCTACGTAAATTTATGATCTCACTCACAGACAAAAATAATCAAGTCCATGACTTCTCATACACAATCAATTTCATTACAGCCTATAAAAGTCCACTAGGCCACCACATATATGTAGGTCTCTCCAATAGATTGCCTTAGTTGAAACGATGAATATAGTTTTGTTAAAATGTAGTATTATATATTATAATAACAAGGGAAGGGAGGGGGAGGGAAATAAATCAGGAGAACGCTACTGCCAAGTCCCTTCCTGAAAACAACTGAAAGAATGAAAACTGTGTTTACCAACCCATCTGCTAACCTATGCAAGTATTGCAAATATTTTTTATAGCATAGGGTGACTAACGAGCACACAATTCACCTGATGGTAAGTGGTTGCTGTGGCCCATAGACATCTACATCTATCTTCGATTACGAATCAAAATGCAGATGCGCTGTCACCCGTGCGGACTAAGATGGAATGCCTCATTTCCAGTAAAAAGGGTCTCCGGTTCTCTACACTTACCATACGAAACACAGCAGCATCAAGGTACCATTTCACGCTGGCACTCTGTGGGAGCGTAGTCCTTCCCCGGTCGAGCCGACCCATTCGTGCTACAACTATAGTACTAATATAACTGCAGCATGGCTCTACCACGTATAAGATTTTATTTAACAAATTGTGATCAGGTGATCGCTATCAAGCTATTTCTAATTCGTTTTGTGTTGTTATTTGTGTAACATATACGATTGTAAGCTGTTTTTTTTTTTTAAAAAAAAAAGTCCCCTGGCTTTCTTGCTTACTCTTTCCAATACTGAGATTTTTTCCGAACCAGTGTTAAATAAAACAAAAGTATGATTTTCAATAATTATTATTTATAATAATATTGAATAAAAAAGTTTCTGTTTCTATACCCCCATATGAGGCAATCTAGGGAGGCTTACGTGTAACAGTAGACTTTTGACTGACTGTAAAAAAGGAAAAAAGTGAAATGTGTAAAAAACTCTTACCATTTGTTTTGCAGTAAATCCTATGCAGATCTTGGCTGGTATATCAGAGAAGGCAACTGTCGGCTCATTGGTCGTTGTGATTCCCCAAACCGGAATACCTTCCAAGGCGTATTTTTCCAAAAATCTAAACAATTGTTAAAACTAATCAATATAAATTAAAAGATACACTTTCTACTTTATTAGAATGATTCTTTGTTAGGCACAAACAAGGGCGGGTAGAACTGGAAAACTCTACTAGTAAACTTCTTAACTGAAAACTGGGATCCATTCCAAGTTAGACCTTAGGGATTTGTGAACCTGTTTTCATTTTGATTCTTAATCAAAGATGCAGAAGATGAGGTGTAGACGTAGTTGTAGGTTATCTATAAGCCATTTACCAACAGGTAGGCTGTGGATAAAGTGAAATAAATTAACTCACCGTTTTACCATGTATTGGTAGTGTAAGGATATCCAATACCTCATATCGTCCCAAATGTATCTTAAAAGGCGACCGAGGAAACGAATCAGAAGATGGGCAGCAGCATATAATAACAAAAAGTTAAAAAAAAACTTTATTTGTCAGCGCACCTGCCAAGCGTGGCAGCTATGGCAAATGAAGCAATCTATATGAAAGGCAGTGGACTTTTGATATGCTGTAACGGAGCATCTACAAGGCGTTAAAACCAGATATTTAAATAGTTAGATGCACCTACACCTTGAAAACTGTGGCATTATTTTAGGATGTGTTTGCAAGACGTCAACGTGCGCACACCAGTGCAATAGTGTCATCTCTTATTATCTTACAGAAATTGTGTATACTACTTTCTCTGTCGCACAAGCGAGCACTGATTGCGAATGAGTGAGCTCACTCATTTGAGAATACACACATTTCGGAGTGGTCATACTATGGTAAGGGCGCATGTAATTATTTAAATCTTTGGTTAAAACGCTTGCCAAGCAAATTTTACAATACCTAATTGGAGTAAAACCTACACTGTTACCAATGCTGTCTTAACTAAAATAAAACATGTTACCATCGCTCAAATCCAAGGGAAAATAATACAGGTGCGTAAACTTAAGTTCTACTTTAGCCATTAATAGTTAATGCTTGACTACTACCTCGCTCACCATTGATGTTAAATGTTAAAGCAGCTGAGGATTATAAAGCTTAACAGAAGCCTACTAACGCTGGTCTTGAAGACATTGAATGAAAAAATGCTGGTCCACTCCGTTGCCTGTACGTTTTACAAACGACAAAGCAAATCGTTTGGTTTGAATGCGTAGTATGTTCATAAAAGTGTAGAGACTGACCGAGTGTCTGATTGTCCTTTAGTAGAACGGAGAAGGAGGAATTAAGTAATGCAATCTCTGCGCAGACCTACATTCCTCGTTCAATTGTGAACTGTTTACAGATAGATGTTGATGATAATGATGGTGATGATGATTAATAATAACAGTCCTTACTTCAAGTGATAATCAGCGTACGTCTGGTAGAATTCATTCTTCAGGTAACCACACGTGGGATTGTGTTCCGTATAGTACTTCATCCAATTAGGAGGCGACCAGGTAGAGGCGATGACGTGTACAGGCGATGTAGACATATCCATCATTCTTTTTATTATAGGTATCTGGGAATATAATTTATAGAACGAATTAATTATTCCAAATTACAAAATTGCCGTACGGTGGCGGCTTGTAATAATCCATCACCTCTTTTCGTGCCCAATGCGTCGTAATAGACAACTATGGATAAAGCTAACAAGACCTCACAGCTTTCTACAAAAGGCATTATTATCATCTCGTCTTCATCCATAAATTCTATTACAGCCTATAAAAGTCCGCTGCTGAACATAGGCCTCCCCCATAAGTTGCCTCATAGAGGAATTTTGCCATAGTTGCCACGTTTGGCAGGCGGGTTGGCAACTCAGTTTTTTTATTATTTTACGTTGTTATCAGGAGCATCGCGTGTTTCAGTTCCTCTGTCGCCTCTTACGGCATCCACGGGATGATATGGGGTAGTGGATATTCTTACACCGCCACTACACGGCTATATCTGGATTACGCCAGGCATAAAATTTGCAGACCGGCGATGGAGCGCCACGTCAAAGATGTAAGAGGTCTAAAACGATCGCTAATCCGCCTGTGAAGCTTCGCTATTAAATTAAATGTTCCCTACAACTGGAGAGGTTTATGTGTATCAGTGACTTTAGTGGGCTGTTAATGAAGAATAAGAAAGAGGAGTAGGGAAGATTGAATTTACATGCAAACTTACAAATAAATTCTTCTGATCTGACAATGAAGTGATTTTGTAAGAATATCCACTACCTCATTACATCCCGGGGTGTCGTATGAGGTGACAGAGAAAAACTTAAACACAAGATGGGCAGTAGTAACTCTGTAACAGCTCAAAATAATTAAAAATTGTGCTCAAACCCCCTACCTAACAATTACGTCAAATATGAGGAAATCTATGGGGGAGGCCTATGTCCAGTTGTGGACTGCGGCAGACTGTATCGGTAACGGTATAAAAATAGATATTATTTTGAGTGAATAAATATATCGTTTAGAGTAGATTATTATCTACTATAAATGATGGGAAAGAAACGTTTACGAGTAGCTGTCTCGTGCCGGTAAGCGAAAGATAGGACAGCCCGCTCTATATGGAGTGAAAACTTGGTAAGAAATGCAGGAAGTGGATGCATGCAGGAAACCCAAGCCATTCTTTGTGACATTCTTTGGGGAGAGGCATATGTATATATGTACAGCAGTGGACTTATGAAGGGCTGCTATAATATTATGGTAATAACAATATTTACGATCTAGACGGCTTGCTGTTCTAAATACGTTTTGAGTGGTCAACTTAATTACCTTATAGTGGTGATCTTCGCTGGACAGCGTATAGTTCGTCAAATGATAGTCGTCGACTGGCAACTCGTTGTAGGCGAACTCACTCAGGGAGAAGTCACTCCCACCGATCGGAACCCGAAGCATGTTATACTCCAAGCCCTCGTCACTAAAGTAGGATCTATAAGAACACCACCACTCTAAAGTATCTTTTAGGCGAAAAACAATAGAACCAGAGTAACTGACAAAGCGAACCGAATTAGTGCTCAGACAATATACGACAGATAACGAATATAATAGAATAAAATAAAATCATTTTTATTCAATATAGATTACGTGTCTATTATTATTGAAAGTATTTTTTTACATTTAGCACTGGTTCGTAAAAATCCTTTGTTCCGGGAAGAACCAGCAAGAAACTTGGCGGGAGTTTTTTATATAAAAATAATTTATAATAAATTATTTTATTTAATTAGTATAATCTATACATTTAGAAACAGTACGGTAGCGATCACCTCATTTCCAGGGATTATTATTATCATCAATCATGTGCTCTTTAGTAGTATAACAACCTTTATTAAACAATTTTTTCTGAATAAAATTAACATTATAAACATTTTGATAGATGAGGCCCGCATTTTTTCTGAGACTTTTTTTAAAAGCGTATACATTGCCCCATTATATCATATCGAAATATACATATCGAAAGGTAAAAGTTGATATATATATATATATATATATATATATATATATATATATATATATATATATATCTATTTTCTCTAATGCATCCCTTCGGACCTAGGTTATAAAATGCTCTTAAGTCTCTCTTCTGCAAAACAAAGATAGTTTCAATGTAAGTCGCATTACCCCACATGAGCACCCCCCCTCCCCCGAGATTCCATAATAAATTATGCTATGGAAATAACTAAAATATACTAATCTAGCAGTTTCAACAAATGTAAGGCCTCTAATCTTAAAATCTAATTTTAATAAAAAAAATTCGAATGAATCGTTCACATCATGTGCTGTAGAACTAAATCTGCTGGCTAGTGTAGATACACTTTAACATATTTTAATAATTGCCTTTTACGTAGTAAAATCAACGAAGCATCATCAGCAAACAAAACTATATCATGGTTATTCCTTAGCAGGGATAAATTATTGTTAAAATTCAATTGAAAATATGGGTTGTTTATTTTCATCTTACTTGTTTCGCTATTGATATACTTCAAGTCATTTTAATTTTATTATAGGCATTGTTTTTTTTTTCGTAAATATAAGGATTTGGTTGTGGAAGAATATTTGAAATAATATAAAAATTATTTTAAATATTCTCTAAATGAAATACTATGATTATACGATCTTTCATGGTAGAGGTCGTATCTATTTATTATATACCTATTTATTGTCTATTAATATGGATTTATACTGTCGCACATTCATTAAATATTTTATTAAATTCAAGACTTGTACGTTTAAATAATGATGCATTCATTTTAATAATTTTCTAGTGTTTAGGAAACTAAGTCTTGCAAATAGATATTATATATATATATATTTGCCACAATCCTCACCCTTGGAAGGCTTCGGATCGCGTTCATGTAGCTCACCACAATATTGTTGTCCCCACAGTATTTTCGCATATATCGTAAAAGTTTCTGAAGAATGAATTATGTAAACTACCCTTACGATACAGGAGAAAATTTTAGTTTTTTTTGACGCTACTTTTTTTAAAGACGAAGATGAAGATTTGTAAATAAAATATTGCATAAAATTAAAATTACTTAATCAAGTTTTCCTGCGCGGAACGCGGCAAGCTTCTTAGATTATATCCAGCGGTTCCAGTGGCCGCGGTCCCGAAGCCTTCTATCGTCTGATACTTTGTGTCCGGGTGCAATTCAAAGAAGTACTTGCATCTTTCTGCGAACAAAATAAAAAAAAATATTAATCACTCTTCTACATATTTCACACAATCCTCTTCTTTTGTTTTTGTTTTAAAGAGTTTGATTCCATAAAAGATTTTTCTGGTGTCATTAAAGCGCTATACAATAAATAAACTTTTAATAAAAAGTAAAACCAGCTTCAAAAATTACAAAAATAAAATAGTTTCCACATAACAGCTTCTGAAGGGCTTGAAGCTTCTTTCGGCTAATCTACTACTATTATGATTTTAAATTTATTTTTTTAGTTTTTATGTGATAAAATAATTTTTTAATAAAAAAGAAATATTATACTTTTATTTTAAAAAGTTTATTTATTTTATCTTTTGATGGGTATAAGGAAATATCATAAAACTAGAATATTGGTTGCATATCTAAATTAAAAAGTGCATCACTTATGTATGCAATTTTTTCTTAAAATTTATACGGGTTCCTTATGATTATATGAAGTGATTAATAAAAAAACAGTGTGCATATGACCACACAACTGAAGTAAAATGTCTTTAGCTAAATTTATTATCGGCTTCCTTCCATAATTTTTATGCCGTACGGAAGCCGATAATAAATTCACAAAACATGAACTTTAAAATCACTTTAAACGTAGACTATTTTTAATGTATTGAACAAAACATTAGTTTATAAAATTGTTCAAAACGACATTGTGCTTAGACATGCGGAACGTAACTGGCTATGAGAGAAAGAAAATATGCGCGCACACTGCTCTTTCTTGCTTCACTTACACTCAACTCCCGTTCACCTCGCCAGATCACACTTTTCGTAACGCTTTCGTCACGCGTTCGCCAGCTTACTCCCCAAGTCAAGCGTGCGTAAAGAAGTTTTACTTCCGAAACTGCGGTTGCCAACCTATTTGCCAAGCGTGGCAAATATAGGGTAGGCCTATGATTAGCAGTGGTTTTAATACTCGTAGAGTATAACAGTAATGCTTGGCGGACTTCTAGCGGCTTCTTCAGCTGCGGAAGCAGCTGCTACTTTGTGAACAAGTGTTTCTATGGCCTACAATTATTTGTTCCGGGTCGGGATGTTAGTTGTTGTGCAGTTTATGTATGTAAATTGCTTCCACGATACAGGAGAATGCATGATGCGGTGGTAACCTATCTTTTGAGAAAAGAAAAAAAAAGAGAAAGAAAGATCATTTTCACTTACTTGTTACCTTACATTGCAGCTTTCCACTTCTCTTCTTAAATCTCGAACCATCCTGTAAAAGGAACTATATTTATTTTCGAGTACAAATAGACGAGTGAAGAGATAATAGAGTAATAAGTACATAAAATTTGTCCAATTATTTTTCGATGACGGAATTCTACGAAATATTTATTTCCATTGGAGTTGTTTTTATGATATGAATATTTTTTACATAAAAAATGACATACGAACTCCACCTTCAACCATCTTCAAACAAAGAAAGGTACAAATGCGTACCCTCTATTTTTATAGAATAAGGGTGACAAACGAGCACACAGTCCGCCTGATGTTAAGTGGATGCTGTGGCCCATAGACATCTACGTTTATCCTCGATTAAGAATCAAAACACAGATGCGTTGTCACCCCTCAGTACAATGATGGAATGCCTCGTTTCCAGTAAAAAAGGGTCTCCGAATCTTTACACTCACCATACCAAATACAGCAGTATTACGCTGCTATTTAACGCTGTTATTCTGGAGAACGTTCCTCCCGGTCTGTAATCTTTGCCCCTGAGAACTAAAATGGACAGCCTGAAACACTGCGTTACGAAATTTGTCATTAAACAAGTTTAAATGTTTTACTAAAGAAAATTGTTATTACAATATTAATAAATACATTAATGAAAATAACCCATGGGAATGAGTTATTTTCATTAATGTATTTACATTACATTGCTGAATGAGCACCTGGGAGTGGAGTTCCTAATGGAATAACCCCTGTATACTCTTCAGACCGCAACACAGCAATGTGGCCTACATTCTGTGTGTCTGTACAACTACCCAGCTGTAACTACCGCAGACGAATTTCTAGGTCGAAAAGCTAGAGTATTTATTTATTTATTCTTCGTGGCACAAGAATGTACAAAAGAGAACTTAACGCCTTCATGCGTTCTCTACCGGAATACTATTACTCTCCTTTCTCTTACAGTATTTCTGAATACTAAATAGTAGGACTCATACGTACTTGGACTTATCTAGTTCTGTCCGCAAACAGTAGTGCAGCTACTGTTGTGTATGAGAACTATAAAACCGGTTGTAAGAAATTTTGTCTTTGCTTACAAGGGTATCAACTGTCTTCACTTTAAATCCTTAACCTATATTTTACTTTACTTAACCTATAACTGTTTCTAGTAAAAAGCGTTTCCGGTTGTCGTCACTGAGCACTGACCATAGGAATCACAACAGCAATATGTTGCAATTTTATGCAAGCGGGTGACAACCCGGGTGCCCTGGGCGGGGGACAACTGGGAACTTACTGGAGCTGATGACGCATCTAGTACCCGCGGTTGATGCTGGCCTAAGCAGGTGGACGTAGCATACTTTGATTTCAGAAAGGCTTTCGATACGGTTGACAATGATGTGTTACTTTGTAAGTTGGCTTGTGTGGGTTGCACACCTCGCACGCTATCATTTTTCGTCAGTTATTTGCAAGACCGGCATCAGTTTGTCGATTACAATGGGCACTTTTCTCGACCGTACTCTACTAGATCTGGTGTTAGTTAGGGCAGCAATCTAGGACCTTTGCTGTTCATTTTAATGATAAATGATTTGCCAAATGTAGCCAATTTTAGTACTCCATTATTGTTTGCCGATGATCTAAAATTAGTTTTAGAAATTAGAGATAAATCTGATGCTGTTTTTTTACAGCATGATATTGATAAAGTTTTAAGATGGAGCATTGATAATAAACTTTTTTTTAAATGTCTCTAAATGCTCAGTACTGTCCTTTAGCCGCTCACGCGCGCCAATCCATCACCAATACGTGATGGATTGGAAACTGCTTCATAGAGTTAAGGAGGTTAAAGATCTAGGTGTACGTTTCGCTGCAGGCTTAAATTTCGGATTACATGTGAGTAATGTTTGTATAAAGGCATACCGTAACCTCGGACTGATAATGCGTCTTGCAAATAATTTCACAAACGTCAGGGCTCTCAGAGCGCTATATGATGCACTCGTAAGGAGCCACTTCGAGTGTAACGCCGTCATTTGGGCTCCTTATGAAGTCAAATACAAATTTATGTTAGAGCGGATCCAAAATAAATTTATTAGATTCATGTACTTGAAACTATTCGGAATATACCCGGGCTATCCCTTGTTGTATCCTACTCTATTTTTGCTCGGTATGGTAGGATACTACAAGCTCGAAGTCAGAAGAGAAGTAGCTCTCGCAATGTACGTGTTGAAGGTGATGAGGGGTAGAATACACAATCCGAGAGTGCTGGAGATGGTGCGACTCAATGCGCCGGATGGGTGCGCGGGGCGTCGGCTTTTGGCCATTGCTGGAGGTGCCGCGCGCGCGCACTGCACTGATGCAGCAGGCGCCGCTCGCGCGCGCGCTGCGTGTGATCAACGCCATATCGGAGCAAACTGATTTGTTTTCATGTTCGCTGAGTGAGCTCAGTAGAGTGGCATATGGTATTGTATCGTTGGCTACACTGTCGAATTAGGGTGCTCATCCTGTAATGACTGTGTATGTTGTATATATAAAAAAAAACCTTCCCCAGTCGAGCCAATACTTTATGTTACAGCTAAAACTCACCTACAACGTAGTTCTACCTTTTTTTAATGTGCGAGCAGCTACGCAAGTCTAGGGAAAGAGACCAGTATCACTGCGACCTTCAAGATCTATTGTGATCGCTGCTATGGCTATAGGTCTAAACTACTATGGCTATAGTCTAAACTGCTAAGCTCTATGTCTTCCATGAATAGAAGGAGTTGCTTAGCTGTGAGCGATTTCACTTCTGGGTGGATTATATATTTTCCCAGATTAGTGTTACGTTTGCACAATAAGGGTCCGCAATCAGTTAGGATGTGCAGAGGCGTGTCTTCCGTTCCGTTCCGTACAGAACCAGCACATCTCCGTCCCGGGATGGACATGTGATTTTTTAGACAACAGTATCCAGTTAGGGCTCTTGCCAGAATGCGCAATTTATTTTTACTTAATTCCAGGGCTTCTGAAGCGAATTTGTGATCAAAAGCCCGGATTAAGGTTTTAGAATGTTTTAAGCCTGGTATGTCAGACCAGATTTTAAGTGATAGATTATAGTTCTACTATGTATATGATTTAAATATATATGTCCTTCTGACCCATTCTATAGTCGCCTCTTCTAATGGTAATTTGGATAAGGCCAGAAAGACGCCATTACACGGCGACCAACTTATACTAGGAAAACATAAGTCAATACAGTAAAGAATTAAAACTACAAACTAACCTCTGAAGACGTGTAAGAGACGTAACTGCCTTTAGCAGGAATATCTCTAGTGATTGTGTCGCAATAGGTGTCGTTACAAACACACACAACAGATTTTCCTTTGATGGCCCGCGCCGCGCATTGCCAGTCCTTTGTGAGCTCCGCCGCTGCTTTTCCTTCTGCACCAAAGCAGTTTCTCAGTAATAAATGAATATCTTTATGTTTAAAATTCTACTGTACGTTTGTGTTTCATCTAAATTCTTCTAAACTACGAAGCGTATATAAAACGTATCTATTTAAACTGCAATCTATTAAAACGCCTACCATGCACCGACAGAACAACCGACTAAAACACTTTAAATTAAATAGCCTTACGAATGTGGGGATTTAATCGATCTTGTTTCTCTGCTCAAAACTTTTCATTTTCCCATTTTTATTTTCATTTGCCCAGGATTATTACAAAAATTAAGTTAAATACCACTAATTTGAAAAAACTTTCGGTAATACAGAATAAAATCAAAAATTTTGAACTAAATAAATAAATCAAAATCCAGACGCGAAAATACACACACACACACACACACACACACACACACACACATATATATATATATATATATATATATATATATATATATATATATATATATATATAATATTATGTATTTTAAAAAAGAACTTCTTTATTTGCAATCCTTAGGAGTGGAATATTTTCTCTAAATTTATATGGGACCAACCTTTAAGTATATCTAAACAATTTAAGAAAAAAATCGATTCTTTGATATCTTCGCGTATAGCGATATGAAATTCCTTAAACAATAGTCCAATATGAAACATTTCCCATATTTTCCACCCTCGGAGGTAGAATCCTTTCTTCTTAATTTAATGGCACCACCCTTGACGTAAGCCTATTTAATAAAAAATAATAGTTATTAAAATCGGTTCACAATCTGGAATGATATCGCGTAACATAACTACAAAAAACAAGAACAGACTCGACTTGAGAACCTCTTTTAGAAGTCGGTTAAAAAGTTAAAAATTATACTGTTATTTTTGTGTAATCGCATTTTGAAATATCTAATTTTAATATAAATTATATTATTACATCATTATATTTGGTTATAAACCCGCGCCGTGGTAACCTATAATTAGGACATGTAGTTCTTGATCCCAAAATAGATATATTACAATATTACAACTACAAATACTGTATGTCTTGTTGATTACTATTTATCGTATTTATTTTAAAGAATGAGGATGACAAGCAAGCACACAGTCAATCTGATTCTAAGTGGAGGCTGTGGCCCATAGACATCTACATATGTCCTCAATTAAGAACCAAAATGCATATTCATTATCACCCCTGAGGACTAAGATGGAATGCCTCATTTACGAAATGTTATACGAAACACAACATGGTATGGTATTCTGTGAGAACATGAAGTGAGCTCCCAAGTTGGAAGACTGCCATCTTTTTATGGGAGAGTTGGCAAACGAGCATACGGCTCACCTGATGGTAAGTGATTACTGCCGCCCATGAACAACTGCAACACCAGGGGGATTGCAGATGCGTTACCGGCCTTTTAAAAAGGAGTAGGTTCTTTTCTTGAAGGTCCCTAGGTTATATCAGTCTGGAAAAATCACGATTTTGCAAGAAAGTTGTGCGAGGAAGAAAACTTCTTTTAAATCGCACAGTGGTGGACCGCCAGTCATCCAGATGGTGTGGATTGTATCGCGAGTTTTGTCGTGATGTGCAATGGTGAAATTGTTCGGTTGGATTTATTACGAACAATTCCTCAGAACACTCCCCGTGGTAAATGCGATAAAATACGCAAAGATATGCAAAATATCTTCGCAGTGCCATTCGATCGCCGAGGATTCGAAAAGTTCTGCACTGGATGCGATCAAATAGAAGGAGCTGGCACTAGGGAGCCCCAGCTCAGAGATAGGAACAGTATTTCATGTGCGGCCAAACCTGCGCCTTGTAAAGTTGCAGGCAATGTGCTGGCATGAAATACTGTCCTTTTAGCTTTTTAGAGGCCAATTTGGCCTTCTCTTCCAAGTGACCTTCCAATGCTAGCTGAGGCAACAAGGGGAGTGCCTTGAAACTGAGGAAATACGACGAAGGGGTTCTTCTTAGCAGTAAACGCGCACTTGTGTCTTTTGCAAGTTGAACTGGACTAGATTTAGTCGCCCACAGTCCGAAACTCTGTTCAACTAAGTCTCGACTTCAGATACAAGTTTGTCCCGGTACTCACGTTTGCCTCGCGGATTGTAGGAATGACTGAGTATTACCCACAATAATTAGCTTAGTTAGCTTTACCTCTTGGAAAAAAAGGAGCCATAAGGATCTTTTTTTTCTAAGAGGTGTCTATATAGATCTTTATAATCAGCCTGTTACAGTTCACTGCTCGACATAGAACTCTTCCATTGTACGGTTGATATGTTTTAGTTTCCATTCATTGGCAGGCGGATTGATGATAATAGCACTAAATGTATGGCACTTTTGACTCTGCATCCCGGTAGTGGTCCTTTCCATAACAGCCTATATAATATATAAGTCGACTGCTGAACATAGGGACTTTGTCATTGATTGCCTCATAGGTAGGATTTTGCTAAAGTTGCCATGCTTGACAGTTTATTTTGGGTTGGAAGATGCTGCTGTCCATAGTTTTAGTTTCCGTCTGTCGCCTTTTACCCACAGCATGATTTGAAGTAGTGGATATTCTTACACAGTCACTACACGTCGGTGTCCATATTTTACATTTATCATCAACGGGATTGTCACACAGGAGTTAGTAGATATTTTACTGACAGATTAAATTTGCCAACACGCCTTGAATTAGCGCGCCAAATGCTCTCAAGCTTCAAAACCTTATCTATATAAGATATCCTGTGTGCTTAACATTTTTTACTTATTTTAGATAATTTTATGAAGCAATTATTACCCTATCTCAAATTCTAAATATTTGACGATTAATTTAATCACACGCTTCCATTTGGCACGACGCAACCACGGATCTTCTTTCACATTCATATAATTACGGCTCATAATCATTGGTTTAGGGTATTTTTATTAGTTACAGTTCTCGAACTCGTAAGCTTATTTATAATTAACATGATAATGGGATAAACGTTTTTTTATAAAACCGAAATGACAAACGAAAGTACATACATAAAGATTGATCCTCAGTTCAACCTTTGTGTATGTATGTAAAGTAGCCAAGAAGCCCTCGTCAAAACCTTTGAATAAAAAACGGACAAAAGCGAAGGGAACGTCTTATAGGTTTTCATAAGTGACATAACTGACATAGACTGTATTTTTTTGAATTCATTAATTCGTCGTTCGTTGAGTAAAAGCTTGATTTTTTTTAATCCATGGGATCGTAGATATAATATTGAAATATTTTGATACTACAATTGACTGTATTTCATTTTAATTTCAACTATATAATATTGCCCCTTCTTGAGAAAGTAGAACTTGACATACAGACACCAAAGTGTCTTTTCGTTGTCTTTTTGAGATACGGAACCTTATAAAAGAGGTTGTCCTGTACAACAAAATATCAAAAATAGACCATTGAACAGTGGCAAAAAGTTGTCTGAAGTCATTTGTCTAAAATTGAAGTATTCAGTTCTAAAAGTAGAATATTCAATCGGAGAGCAGCTGGTACAAATCATCCAGGTTAGCAAATACTCACAATAAAACTCTTGTCATGTTCAGATTAAGCCAGATGAATAAAATTAGTTTATATCAACACTTACCGAGAATTCCAAAGTCAGCAAAACACAGGAGAAAATAAACAATCACTAATTTATTCAAATTTCTCATATTGATACCGAGCATGTTCCTGTATTAACATTAGGACCACACAAGCTCTTCTTCAATTATAAGATTAGATTTTCTATTCCAATCGAAAGGGATGATTCCAATTGTATTAACTATTGTAAATCACAACAATTAATGTATTTATACTAGAATAATCTTGGCTTGAATATGGATTTCCTAGAAAATATTACAGTAATTCAGTTATAGTTACAGTTTTGTAACTAACAAGTTTATTGGTGACATTTTCTAAGTAAATTGCACAATTGTAAAGAAAAAGATAAACAAAAACCAAAGTCATTGTTTTTAAAAATGCTTTATTATATTTATCACATGTACAAAAGTATATAAAAATAAAATGTTAAACTTTATTTACAAACTTATTCTAGGATTCCTTATCACTTAAATAATATTTACATTTTATAAGTCTTTTACACACATCATAGTACACTTATAAGACGTATTTTCTTTTAATGGTTTATCCATCACACTAATGGCTTTCACATTTTCTGATGGTGATTCTATTGTGTCTAAAGATGATTTCACTTTATCTTCATTTAATGGCAGAGTTTTTGAAATAGGCGTTATATTTGCTAATCGAACTCGAATTGCTTCCCGTACATTTGAGATAAAAGAATTTTCTTTCGCTTTTAGCGAAAACGGTTGTTGAGAAAGTGCTTGATTGGAAACAGGGAAATCTTTAAATACTGCCGGTTTCTGTTTTGTTTTATGTTTTTCATCCGAATCCATGTTCGTAAACTCAGATAGACCGTTATTTACATTAAAACTTTTCTTTAATGGAGTATTAATATCTAAACCTTTTTGAGAATTTTTTACCCCTTTGTTTTCACCCGGTAACCTGTCTAAAGGCCGCATTCTTGATGGAATTAATTCACTCGGTAACCGATGAGAGTTCTCAATAGATTTTATCCTCGCATTTTTTGATTTATGCTCATCATTCATATCATTCCTTAACGATCCTAAAGATAACTTTGTAGGATAGTCTACGGCAGTTTTCTTGTAATATTTAGGTTCTATAATTGGTTTAAATGTAGTAGTAGAAAATGTTATCTTAACTTTATTATTTTTTAATGGGATAGATCCACTATGCTTCCCAAAGTTTATTAAATTGCTAAAAGGCTTTTCTTGGTGTAAATTTGAAACTTTTCTCATTCCGTCTGAGGGTATTTTATCAATAATTTCCAAGTTTTGTTTGAAGGTACGCTTACCATCATTTTTGCTTAGAGCATTGAAAGCGTGTGACTTTTTCAGTGGCTTCATTCTGTTTTTTATAAACATTTCATCTTGTGATGACAAACCAGACCTAGATTGAAAATTGTGTTCTCTATCTGGAACTTTTGTAGAAAGTATTTTTTTTAAATCGTCACCTTTTTCAAAGCCAATTCTGGTAGGCGAGCTCAAACTTTTACCCATTTCTTCGTAAGTAGGTATATTCATAGATTGTAAATTAATCTGATCGGATAGTTTTTCGTGAATAGATGTTAGCCTATCATTTAAGTCTTCGTGTATGGCATATAATTTTTCTTTCACATCATCTCTCTTTCTTCCTATTGATTCCAAAAAATCCTTAGAATCCATTCTGGTGTTTTGCAATGTATTACCTAAATTTACTTCTTCCAAATTGTTTTGTATAGATTTTAATGCGTTATCTGTACGATATTTAAGATTATCTGTAAAATCATTTAAAGAGTGTCCAGAGAAAAGAGTTCTATCCATTATATTTGATTTCGGAATTTCAATTACTGGTGATTTAAAGATATTTTTAGCGTTCGACTGTAGTAAACTTCGTATATCGTCTAAGGTAGGCACTTCCCTTAAAGAGATTCCCAAAACATCGGATGCTAATTTAGATTTAGATTTTGCTTTTGATTTTGATCCATCAGAGCTTAAAGATAAAGTTGCTCCAAGTATACCCTCATTATTACCTAAAACTGATTCTAATTTTAATGGTTTTATAATCCCAGTCTCCGGTAAAGCCAATTTAGTTTTAAATGAGTTTATATTTAGTCTCGGCAAAGCTATTACTGGATTAGATCTCATCTTTTGCAAGGGTCTCAATTGATAAACATCTATGTCAACATCTTCAAAACGGCTAGATTTAGGTGGTTTGGATCTTATATTCGAAGAAAATATGGAATTTAAGTTTGAACTTTCAGTTAAAGGGTCAAAATCACTTGATCTAGGTTCTTCTACTTGACGTTGACCTTCATTTATAATTTGTGTGATTCCTTGGCTAATTTCATCTAAAGTAGGTATTTGAAAAGGTTTCATAAACAGATTAAATCCTTCTGTTGGGAAAGATGGTTGAACTATGATATCCTGAGGTAAAGAAGATCTTAGGTTATTGTCATTCAGTTGTGGCCGCATGGCATCATATTTAGAATTACTAGCTTGGAGTGACATTTCATCTATTGATGTAATATCCTCTGAATCTGTATCTGTATTATCTTTATCTTCACCTGTTTGGAAAGAATTTTCGTTAGAACTTACATAACAAATGTGCTCAGAACTTTGTGAATCATGAGTTTCTTGTTGCATTGGTGACTTTGAATTCTTAAATATTCCATCATTATCAGAATCTGATAAAACTTCTGATGAAAATATGTTCCCATCCAATTTTATTTTTGCGTAATCTACTTCTGAAGGGTCGCTTACATTGTCATTTACCATATTACTCGATAACAAAGAATTTTCAGTGTTACTTATTGAATCATCGTTATTACAACCTGAATCTTTCAAAGACGAATTTCTGACTCTTAGCTGGTTTTCCTGATTAAGAAGAGAATTAGAGATTTTTTGTAAGTCATGAATAGTTACATCATTAAAACTTTTAGATATAAAATTTATTCCATTCTCTACATCCCGATTACTGTTACTTTTTTCAGTTTTTCTAGGTGGGCTTAAATCTGTGTCATGTAAATTTGATTTGATGGTCTGTTTTAGATTTTCCAATCTTCCTATAATATCGGCTTTAAATGATGCAAAGCGATTAGTTTTTTGTTTTATCGGATAACTAGCACTTCCTTTTTTATCCTGCGTTATTTTTAAATTATTTTCTTCATCGTGTACGTCCTCATTTATACTACTGTCATTAACACCTGGATCATCATTTTGTGTGTTTATCTCTTTTTCAAGTATTTTAATTGTATCATCGCTCGTTTCAGAAGCTAAATCTTCAATTTTATTATTGTCTTTGTGGTCTTTATCGTTTTCTGAGATTTTATGTTCAAAATTCTCATTACTAATTTTACCAACAAAATCTTGGTCTTCATCAGAATCAAAGGTGTCAGCAATTTCACTTATATCGCTTGAAACGACATTTTCATTCAAATTATCATTTAAATTCCTTATTTCATCTTCATTAGAGTCTTGGTTAGTAACTAGCGAAATTTCGGAAGAATTGGGTGGTATTGGAGATTGATGTTTTATTATTTCATCTGATTCTTTTCCTAAATTTTCCTTTAAATCACTTGCATTTACAATAACATCACACTCACCTGTATTTATAATGTGATCGTTTTTAATGATTGTACTAGATGTTTTGAAAATATCATTGTTGTTTTCTATTCGAGCAGCTTTTAAATCATTATATATTTTTTCTTTTGTGGAACCTTTATTGGAGGTTTTTCTTGGTAGAATAAGCTCGACGTCTTTTAATTTCAATATATTTTTAACGATTGGATGTTGACGATCATATATGGTATCCAATGACGATTGCAATTGAGAGTTTAATGTCGTCAAATCTGTAGCAGAATCATCATGCCCAGAATTAATGTTACTCAAGCTGTTTTGTTTTAGAACTGTATGCAAATTGTTATTCAGACGTTTCGCATTTCTCAATTCAGAAAGGTCACGTAACTTATTCTTTAGCGTGGCTAATCTAAATGATGGGCTGCTACTGAATTCCCGTCCACTCTCTAAATTATTTTGACTTTCACAAGGAATATTTTGAATGCTTGCTCTAGCTTCTTGCCATGTATTTGAATTATCTTCTATTCGCTCCTCTCCGATAATTGAAAAATCATTTAGCAACGATGGATTTACTTTAAATTTAGTGCTTAAATCGTTATTTTTAACGTTGATTCTTTCTTGTATGTTACTAGCACTGTTGTCCATGTCAGATAATGATTTATGTAGTAAGCTCTCAGATTTATGCTTTGGTAATATCATTTCTTTTGATAATCGCGGAGATGTTAAACGTTGACGACCCAAAATATTTGAATTTCCTAATGGACTATGAATACATCTGGTTTCTTGCACATGTGAGGCTTCTGAAAGAGTATCGTCGTTGTTCAAATCAGCCTTTGAGCTAATTACAATGGTGACCAAATTTCTTGTATTGTCATGTTCTGAGTCAAGCAAGTCCGATTTATCTACTCTCATTGCACTTCTTGCTGCATCTCTTTCTAACGCGTTTTGATATTCTTCACTGGTAGCTTCTCGTAAAGTCTCCAAAACTGATGAAGCTAATCCTACTTCCGGTTGAAGAAGCGGTTTAGCTTCTTCTTTAGGTTTCTCTATCCTAAAATAATGAAAATTTTAGCATTTGTTATTTGAATCGATCACAGTATACTGCAGAATATATTGTTTAGAATATAACAGAATAGTTTTTATTTAACATTTTAAGCAATATGTACATACTGAAAGCCTTTACAACAAACTGGTAAGTCTCCTTTTAAGGGTAAGTACCACTCTCTTATTTATTTCTGCCGCCGCAGTTTTAACAATATGGGAGATCAATATAATTACAGGATCTATAGCCTTTTTATTTGAAGTTGCAGGCTGCTACCACTTACCATAAGGTGGACTGTAAATTAGTTTGTAACTGCAGTTTTATAAAATAAGTACTTTTATGATGGACTGAAAATCCTTTGTCTTGGTTTCTTAATAACGTAGTGGGATATCATATAAATAATAATTTACAATGTTTCCCAATAATATGTAAAAACATAATGGTAGCAATCACCTAGTCCCCCGTCGGTTATTAGGTTATTATCAATCATGTATTCCTTAATTATGCACGTATTAAAATGCAGTTGGACCTAAAACTTAGATGCAACTCCTTATTATTGTCAATCAAAAGGATCTCCGGTTCTCGTCAATCCCCACATGAAACACAAAAGAATTGAGCTGTTATTTTGCGATATTATTCTATGTGACCGTGGTCCTTCCCCAGTTGAAACAACCCATTCGTGCTAGTCGATTCGATGCAGCGTGACTACTATACTATGTTAATAATGTTGATACAAAGGTGATAAATTTTAACCAACCTTTCTCTAGGATACGCGGCTCGTAAGGAAGATGGATAAAACATGGATGGCGACGCCTCAGAATCAACTCCCGTTAATCGACAGGGACAGTCATCCACGGGGACGCGAGCATTGGAGCTTATTGTTGATAATGAATCTTGGTCCCTGAAATTGCTATCTCCATCTCTAGATCCGGGGCATGGACAACATTCCTCAAAATTCGTCTGCCTATTCACCTGACCATTTTCTATAACTGGTTGTGAAATCTGTAATGATTTTTAATTTTTTATGTATAATTAATAAATATGAACGTGTGGTGATATTTATAATTTAAAAAAGCATAGTGATTATATCAACATTACTAATACTCCTGTAAGGTACTCTTGGAAGCTAAGTCGAATGGTGTAAGTGAACCTGCGACTTTCAGAGTACAGTCCGCGCCCTTAACCATGGCTACGCTTACACTTTCACGTTTTATTCATCTTGAAGATGACGAAGATGTATATGGAAAAGAGGACCGTGCTTAAAGCAATGTACGAAGTATAAATAAGCCTAATTAAATAAAAATAGGTATAGGTATCTCCCTGAGAAAGAAGGTTCTCTTGTGACAACTTGTACCGGTAGCGAAGTGTGGGGCAGCCCCTCTAGACTTATTAACAAATGCAGGAAGCCGATGAATGCAGCTGGCTCATCGTCGTGTTTTGTGGCATTCCTTGGCGATATCTTTGTTAAGCAGTGGACTGGTGACAATGATGATGATGATAATGATAGCTGCCGGTATTTTTATTTTTGTTTCAACATAATAATACCATTATAGTTAAAATTACATGCATGGACTGGCGACAGGTGAAACAGTATGGATTTTGTTTAACATTTAAATAACTTAACAAAATCAAAAGTACGCACCTCCTCGATCACATCAAATTAATTATCCCGTACAGATATCCCCGATATCCAATTCGCAAACTATTTAGCATACCTTGCCACAAAACAAATTTAGGCGCGCATTATCCTAGTCAGAATATGTAATGTACTGGACATTGACATTTTCAACGACTCTGCCCGACGCTTCAAAAAAAAATTGACCAATTTTTTTCACCCTCTCAGCACACACTCATTCCTTAGTTAGTTTTTTCTTAATATAAGTTATTTTGTATTCAGTACCATTATGATATAATAAGCTACACATTACGGTAAATGTTGTGTAAGTCATTTGTTATCGTGTCGTTGTTAATGTTTCATGTATTTTGCTGTTGGTATACCTTATAAATAAATAAATAAATAAATAATAAATAGCTTTCATACAACATATACAAACATTTTCCTTGTAATATTCATTTAGAATAGTTTCATTTATAATTCTTTTAGTATTTGACACAAAAAATATCAACGCGCAAGAGCACGTAGCGCAGGAGCTAGATATCTCACGATTGTGGAATTAGCGATCAGCTCAAATCAAAGGTTGAGCTAAGAACCTTGGGAAATCCTCATGTCTATGCACTGCTGATATCAAGACGTTTAAAATCTAACTGGTAAGTCAGAGCAGCACCTAAAGTGATCTGATAAAAAATTAGCCTGCCGAATATGAAGGTTTTGATGAATTTTCCAATTTGGAGATGGTGTTTAGTACTGCACTAATACAAGTTCATGGTGTTGTATAAAGTATTATGTGCCGTATAATGGGTGGCAAATATTTTTTTGTTCCATTTTGTCTTACACGTGCTCTCAGAGGTGATTATAGTAAGGGAAGAAAATAACAAAGGAAAACAAAACAACATGATCCTGACATAAAAATTAAACATACGTAATAGTGACTTCGTTTGTTGTACAACACCACAGTGAGATACATGCTTATCAAAACAAAACGAGCGTTAAATTCAATTTATAAGTAACAAAATATAATACTAAACTTACAATATTTTTGTGATATTGATAAACACGTGTACTAGTTTCACAATACTTATTTTAAATTATTATTGTACTAATTATAAAAAACCGATTGGTTTCATCTCACGACATCTTTGGGATATATAATAATAACACTTATTTTCGGGTATATAAAAATAACGCTTATTCTTATATAGCATGTAGTGCCGTGAGGCGAAACCAATAGGTTTTTTATAATTAGTATCTTTTCTATAAAAAAATCACACAAATCTTCTCCCTTTATGATAAGACCCATGTGTAATTGAATTTTTATAGAAGAGGGGGAAAACGAGCATGCGGCTCACCTGATGTTATGTGACTATCGCCGCCCATGATCAATCGCAACACCAGGGGAATTGCAGGCGAAACCGATAGGTTTTTTATAATTAGTATAATAATCATTTAAAATAATTACCGTGAAACTAGTCAAGTGTTCATCCAAATTAAAAGAAGCTGTAGTATTACCAAGCAACAATAACCACATGTATAAAATATAAACTTACAATATTTCGAACGACAATGAAATGCACTACAACAAGCCCCTTCCACATGTTTCGCGTTTGATCTCATGGAGGCACCTCAGTTAACTCTTGATTTTCTAATCCAGGCCTTAATTATAGATAATATGAAAGCCCCTTATATCTATGAGATAACATAAGATAATGCTTGAAAACCATAAATCACGCACATATGATGACCGCTTGACATAGTACGTGACAGAATACGTTTCTGTTAACTCGCGGATAAAACACGTTGATCTGCGATATGTTATTATCTATTCGATTGCATAATAGATTGATTCTCCATCCTGACTTAGTGGTTACCTTGGGCACCTTGCTATCAAAACGAGGGCTTTTGGTTGAAATCCCATGAGTGTTTGTATACACACTCTATTTTCTTGAATGTTAGTAGTGTCAATCAGTTGGCTTTTACAGCTTCGTCGGACTAAGTATAAAACGAGGGACGTATGATGATGAGGATGATGATGATGTAGATATTAGTTTTTCGTTATGGTGTTCACCTATAAACAAATCAGTGTACAGATGAGGTATACCTAGTAGGGGTGGTGTGCCCCGACTTTACAGGCGGGCCCCAACTCTACAGGCTAACTAATGTAGAACTAGTGCATTGAACGACACTCGGGTGTACGGTGCGTACACGGGGCCCAATTATCGATGTTAATAAACATAACCTTTGCACTAGGGTTTTCTCCTGTACCGTGAGGTCAGTTTCATAACATAAAACATAACATAAAACTCACGCCTGTCACCCAGAGGGGTAGGCAGAGACTATAGACTTCCATTTGGCACGATCCTGACATACTCTCTCGCCTCCTTTACATCCTTATATCTACGCCTACACGCTCGTCGGTTAAAGGTAATCCTAATGTGGCCCACTTTCAATACATTGCCAATTTGGTTAACAAACCTTGTCTAGGGCGTCCCTTCACGACACTGCCATTCACATCGGGGCAGTTTCATATGTACATAAATTTCACAAAGACAAACGTCCAGACCGAGAACACTTTTTTGTAGGCAATACAAATACTTGTTCCAAGTCCAAGCGGGATTCGAGTCCACAGTCCTTAGCTTAGCATTGGCTTGGTAATGAGCTGCAGCTCATTGCCAAGCCAATGCGCCATGCAGTTGTCGAATTTCTGCTTCAGCTTACTGATCTTTTGGGCTATGTTTTCTATGGCACTACTGCGGATATCACGAAGTCATCGTCAAGAATTCTAGCACGCAAAGGAATTTTGAGTATAGCCATTTTCATAGCTTGGCGAGTGACTAAGCATCCTCATACGGCCAGCAATAAAGGACCACGTCTCATATCCATCCGTCATCTCGACTGAACTGGCAAAGCGCACTGGTTGTAAATTCTTATTTTTAGGTTTTTATAAATAAGTGACGTGAATCATAATCTCCCGAATGACTCTCAAAAACGACACGTAGATGCGGCTTAGAAGGAAAATCTGTTAGTTATATAATAGAGTGTTATCACCTTTTTTCAAGAACAGGACCACCGCATTAAATAAGAACCTTTCGATCTCACTCAAAAACTAAGATCACACGGAAATGACTCTGACAGAGACGGTCTTCAATTTAGACAGTTGGCTCTTTCCGCTAAACAGATCATAAACAAGCAAAGACATGCCTTGTTTCCGCTCAAAAGTATATTTTTCATTACAATAATTGTAAGATTTGTCTATTTAGTGTTAGTTTAGGTTAGTTCAGGTGCACTGTAATAATGACATGGCATCCACGACTTTTTATGCCACGTGTCAAGGTTTACGTTTCTTTTTGTACTATTAGTTGTATATTACATTAATTACATAAAAATTAAAAAACCAAACAACAACATTCATAAAAGTAGCAAAATTAAAAAAAAGTTAAATTGTGCAAAAAATTTAAGAGCAAACCACTGAGCCATTGCTTTGTGTGTTCTGGAAACTGATTAACTTTTATTTAAAATTAACTTCTCAATTAAACTAACGACATCTGGTGAGCGGAAGGTTATTAGCCATCATTCATGATGACTGCAGCTTCATTTCCCGTCTTACAGCCATTAGATTTAAGGTATTATCGAAGAATCTCTGTTTTCGCCATGCGACGAATCTTGCAAAACTTAGTTTCGATCGTATGGACAGTTTCCACTAGTGTGTCATTATCGTCAACTATTTGACAATCTTCTAGACACTGAAAACGATTTTGTAACTCGAGCTAAAAGTTTATAACAAAAATAAAAAAATATATAATTTTCGTTGATGCGTCACAAAAGGCACGTAGGGAATGCATTTACTGACGTTCCATTGACATTGATTTATGTCTTCCCTTCGATCTGTCTTCCAGACCGAATTTTAATCACGGCGGCAAGTCTATACGGAGACTAGCCACCTGCCCAGGATTACAGTTTTCGAGTGTATGTTGTGCAAACACAGGTGCACTCCCTATTCCTTCATTCTCGTAGTCTGATGGGACTGCAATGCTCTATCAAAACTAGTACATTGGTTTAACACTAATAATAATTTGCTCTTAAATGGCAACAAGACAAAACGTTTTAAATTTACAATACCTAATGTTAAACATTAAAATACCAATGTGCTCTTAAATGAGGAAGAGTTGAGTCTTGTGGATACCACTGTTTTTCTTGGTATTACTATTGACGCGAAGCTTCAATGGGGCCCCCATATATCTAAATTAGCAGGCAGACTTAGTTCTGCAGCATATGCTGTAAGAAAGATCCCATCATAAACATAAATCTGAAATGAGAGCCAAGTTCAATATTATGATATATGCGTTGGTTGTTGACTTTAACGACAAAAGAAGTGAGATTTAAATAGGTGCCAAGTTCAATGGTCAGTCCTGAAATTTATTTATAACAAAATAAAATATAATTTCTTCTTATAACTTAGGATAATATATTGTAGCCTAAGGTCCGACTTGGCTAGTTCTCATATACGAATTATTATGTTCGATGGCTAGTTTCTACCAGCAAGCCAAATTTTCGGAATAATAAAATAAGAACCGACAAGTATCAGGTTTAGAACTTGCGAAGACTATAATATAATTTGTATATGAAACCTAGCCATGTCAGGCCTTAGGCTACAATATATTATCCTAAGTTATAAGAAGAAATTATATTTTATGTTGTTATAAATAAATTTCAGGACTGACCATTGAACTTGGCACCCATTTAAATCTCACTTCTTTTGTCGTTAAAGTCAACAACCAACGCATATAGCTTGGCTCTCATTTCACATTTATGTTTTTGATGGGATGTCATTACTTTTTGTACATAAATTATTAGTAGGTACTTATTTATAACAAAATTAATACCAAATCGTTAAGGATAAGACGTACTCCATCCAAGGTTTTAACTCTGGAGAGTCCAACGTAAGCCTGCCCTCTACCAAATATAGAGGAGCCTATGTCGAGAAGAGCACTGTCAAGGTTAAGACCTTGTGATTTGTGGATAGTAATAGCATATGCTAAGCAAATATGGAATTGTTCCCTGTGAACATATACATTACTTAATATCTGAAACTTGGTCTTGACTCATTCTAGTTCGTAAATTAAATTATGTTTAAATTGTATTGTAATCTTACGTGCGCTATTGCTGTTGTCGATGTCCTAATGTACCTTCTCTATTTTTCCAATGGATCCGTTTACCAGTCCTTTACTGACATCTACGTTTCTTCGCAATATTACACGTGAACCTATTTTTATTGTGATAACATTTTCTAACCCTGCAGTTAGCGACGTTTTTAAATACCGTGGGCAGTCTATTTCGTCTATCGAATTTAATTTAATTTTTGGTTGCTCCATACTTGCCAACAATGCAGTATTAAACTGGTTACACATATTTTTAGTGGGAAATAAACATACTGTATCAACGGACAACAGCTTAAAATAAGATATGATTTCTGTAAGCCCGTCGTTTTGATTTTTAGCGGTTAATTTGAGAAGTCGATTAAATAAAGTGCAACTGTCTTGACTGGTTACTATACCCATTTCTCCGAAAAGTTGGTCATTTTTTACCTCATATAAAGTTAATTCCTCATATAAAAATAGTAATATCCCTCTTCGCTGAACAAATTCATTATCTTCACGCACTATCCCTAACGGGGTAGCCAGAGAGAACAGATCGCCAAGTGTCACGATCCTTACATACCTCTTTCGCTTCTTTCAGGTTCATTATCTTCTTCATACATGCACGTCTAGGTATCCGAATACTCTTGACCTTTCCCTCTTCGAGTAATTTGCTCACATGGTCTTCGAAAGTTAGTCTCGGTCTACCTCGACACCTTTTAATATTTACTTTCGCGCTATATATTTTCTTCACCATTCGGTATTCACTCATTCGCTCAAAGTGCCCAAACAATCGGAGTACGCCTCTATAAATTTTTGTGATAAGGTCATCTTTCAATCCTGCCATATTGCGAATCTCTTCGTTTCGCTTTCGGTCGGCTATGGTAACGCCGCACATTTTACGAAGAGATCGCATCTCCACTGCATTCAACTTGCTTTTATGCTTCTTCTGGCACACCCAGGTTTCGCTGCTATATAACAAAGTCGGTACCAACATTGCGTTATGTATTGCAAGGCGTGCACTCTTCACTACGCCTTGCCTTTTGACTAGCGCATTCAGGGCACCAATGACTTTGTTCCCGGCAGCGACACGCTTATCCACATCTAAATCACATCTTCTATCCCGGCTGAAAGCACTCCCCAAATATACAATTTCATTTACCTGTTCTAGACATTTCTGATTAACCCATATTTCACATTTCGTTCTCTTTTCATCCTTTTCAAACACCAGAACCTTAGTTTTATTAGCATTCAAACGGAGACCTTTAATTTCACATTCCTCTTTCATACACGTGACTAATGCTTGCAGTTCTGCTTCTGATGGTGCAATAAGCACTACATCATCAGCATACAGCAGACAATTTACTTTATTGTCACCCAATTTCACACCCAAACAGCTATTTTTCATCTTCTGTAAACAGCTGTCGAGATACAATATAAACAGCCAGGAAGACATGACACAA